AAAAGGGGTATTTTTTAAAATAAAATTTGTATCCTAGTGTTGGGTCCCTACAGGACAGGCCTTCACACCCCCACTCCATCTGTTTTGCACTCTTGTGGTTGGTCGAAAACAGGAACAATCAGTTGTTTTCAACAATGATTCTAAGGATGTTTACCCCTAAGCCATGTGAGTTACAGTGATAAGCTTCCTGCTCTTGCTGGCTTGGCCTCCCCTGATGAGGGCTATATATACTGTGTGAGAATGTGGAATAAAGGCTTGTCTGCAGAACCTGAAGATGTGTCGTGTGTTAATCCTGACATCCCTTGTTTTGAAGAACTACAGTTGCCATGCTGGCATGGCAAAGTGGAGGTTCCACTGAGATCTGAGAAAGAAGGGGTAGTGGACAGGGCTGTTTTAGGCCAGTAAGGATGGATTCAGGTAAAAAAAAAATGAGATCCACAAACAGTAAGAGAGACCTGATATATCAGATAGCTAAATTGTTAGAGCAACAAGGAACCAAGGTCAAAAAGAAAATTACAGAGCATTTTTTTCAAGAATATAGCCACAGCAAGCCCATGGTTTTTGACAGGTGGAGGTTTGAACATCTCCGATTGCAAACAGGTAAAAAGAAATTTGCAGAAACGGCTATAAAATAAGGGTGCCAATAACGTCCCTATATCTACCTTTTCCCTATGGTGCCTGGTTCGCGATGCCCTTCTTACTGATAAAGTGAAAGTGAGACCAGAGGTCGTCGCAGCTAAAGAGATCCTTGAAGAAATACAGGAGGAGGAGACTCGCCTTTGGCAGAGGAGTCATATAGAAACCAAAAGGAAATGTCAGGGGTACCAGGGGGAACTTTCTAATCTGGCTCAGGACCAAGGCTAGCGCCAAAGTCTGCCCACTTTCAGGCGCAAAACCTGATAGCAATAACTTCTGAGTCAGAAAATAGGGAAGACAGCCTCAGCTCTATCGCAGAGAATAGTTTATCTGATGAGGAAGAACAGCTAATGCAGTCACTGCCACTGTGGCTATGGTTGCTGGAGTTGCCATTTTACAGACAGCTGTGACTGCAGAGACTGTGGATCAGATGTCTGGAAGGGTTAGCAAGTCCCTGCAGACACAGAGTGCTCTGGATTCTCATATTGGACTTGGACTTTTGAATTTGCATCGATGGACTGTGCTTTTGCAGGAGTGGGTGGATTCCCTTTGGCTCCTGCAACAAATGTCTTGTACGTTACACCTGCTGATGTTGTGGGTGCTTTTGATGTGGTTGAGCAGTTGAATGAATGTTTGGATGGCCCTCCTTTTTTGAATTTCACCTTGCAGACAGCTCATCATATTGTTAGTATTAATAGTACATAGTTCCCTGCTATGTCTGGATCCAGTGAGTGGAATGCCATGGTCCAGTTTGGTGGCTGAGTCCAGCAGTTGTCTGGAATGCTTTCACTTGCACTGATATTGCTATTGGGGTTATCTGTTTTTGGATTCTTTGCTGTTTTATGCAGCAATCCCACATACAGTACACAGTCACTTGACAAGAGTTGCTCGGGCTGCCTTCTGGTAATCAGGAAGCACCCCAAGTTTGGCTGCAGATGCTGCAGAAGTATTAGGGGTCCCTACGATGGGCAACTGTCCTGGTATAGAGAGCTCACCCGAGAGAGGTATTAATGCCTCCCATTGACAGGTAAGAGTCTCTATCCGGGGGAGTCGAAGACAGGGGCTCTCATGCTTTTAAAATATAAAGGGGGAAATTGTTGGGTTCCTATAGGACAGGCCTTCACGCCCCCACTTAATCTGTTTTGCACTCTTGTGGTTGGTTGAAAACAGGAACAAAAACAGGTACAATCTGTTGTTTTCATCAATGTTTCTAAGGATGTTTACCCCTAAGCCATGTGAGTTTTGGTGATGATCTTCCTGCTTTTGCTGGCTCAGCCTTTCCTGCTGAGGGCTATATATACTGTGTGAGAAAATGGAATAAAGGCTTGCCTGCAGAACCTGAAGTTGTGTCATGTGTTAATCCTGACGTCCCTCTCTCAGTTGTCGTGCTCGTGTGGCATCTTAGAATTTATAGGGAACCACAAAAGACCACATACAGTCAAAATATTCCTGAACCAAAAGAAAAATGCTGAGTAGCTTACCATTCCAGATCTTCAGACTACAGAATCATAGTAATAAAGAGACACTGAATTGACACAACAACAGAAACATAGAACAATGGAGTAAAACAGAGAATTCTGTTGGGTCCAGGGGGTTTAAGCAAAGATGGGGACAGACCACCAAAGTCTAAAAACCAGGATCAAACTTTATTCCAGAAACCAGAATCTAGGAATAAAAATAAAATCTCCACGGGGCACAAAAAGCTTATCAGCTTCCTGAAACCACAGTTAGAGATGGTGTTTGTAAGGCTGTGGCAAAGACCAGTTTCTGAACCCATCGTTTTATAGTAGGGTCACCAAGCATTAGGTCTAAACAAATAAATTTTTAGAATCTCAAGGTAAAACTCAGATATAGATAGTCTTATTTTACAATCTCTGTTAACAGAGTATTTTAGTTAAAC